GTATTGTACGACAGGGGCGTCGAGAAGAGAAATAGCGGCTCCCAAGCACTCCTGCATTTACTTTTTTTTTAAACTCAAAAAAAATCGCAATTTATTTTTTGCTCCAAACTATGTGTTCTGGTGGGATCTCAGACTTAAATAAAAATTAATTTCATTTCTCAATGACTGTTGAGTCATTTTCCATGTTTCGAAAACATACATACCTGCATGAAATTATCAAACACAACCAGATCAGTCTTTTGCGAGTCCAAGTATTGAAGAAGTCGTCGATCGTCAAGGAATTTTTCGCAGTAATCGTGATGTCTATAGAGCACTCTAAACAAGACAATAGTATCTTATGACAGGAATTTTTGAAAAAAATGCTGAATAAAGGTCGGCGGCGTAGCAAGAGGTCCCAAAGGCCTGCCGCCTGTACCCGGTGGTAGCAATTAGAGGCGCGAGCCATCTCGGATGGATCTGGCAACTTTCAAGAGCTGGGTGCGACTGCACCCACGCGCCGTCAATTGTCGTATATCAGTCTAAACCGTGCGTGCGCGAATGAAGCCTTTTATAAAAGAGAAAAAAAAACCATACGTTGAGGTTCAAAAAGGTGGAATGGTAAAAGAAACATAGCAGAATTTTCACTATTTTATCGAATATTTTATCGATCTCATTTTATTCTCGTATCATTATCTATTAGGTTGAGATAGGTTCGTACCGCTTTTATTTTTAACTTTAAAAAGTTTTAAGGAAACGGAAATTTTACCAATACATTATTTACATTGTTTAACATTTAAAAGCTCCTGATGGTACTGAAAATAAAAGTATATGGGTGCTGGCAACAATTATAAATACTCGTAACTGGAAGCGTACACATTTTTTTTTCATTTTATTAAATACCCTGTAATTGTTCGCAATTTCAACATAAAACAGCAATTGCGTACGTACTTCCTATTTTCATATCTAAAGTTCTCACAACAAGGCTGTAAAATTTTATGAAAGAAATTCCCAGTTTTCTTGTTTTTTTTTCCTCATTTTTGGTTGAACTTATACTAAAGCGTTTATTCTTTGGGATTGCGATACAGACTGACTTAAGCCAATTTGGGAAGTTGCCAGAACCATCCGAGACGGCTCGCGCCTCTAATTGTTACCACAGGGGATAGCGGCATGTCTTTGGGACCTCCTGCGCGTCTCCCTTGTAGGTCAGATCATTACTTTGTAACGCTAAGAGATCCTCGCAGATCCCATGGACGATCAAAATCAGTTGGTAGATTCAACTCCCAAAGTAGAGCGCCAGCAGATTGCATTAACTCAACACCTGAAAAAATGAGAAGCTTTGCACCTACTTTTTTCATTTGGTGCTCCTAGTTTCCAGCCTATGACACCAACTATTCTTAATGCATGAGAAAACCCCTCAATCCTATATGTTATTTCTAAAAGTTACATCTCTTTTTAATCTCAGCCGCAAGAAAATCTTATTTGTAGAAGAGCACTTACACGTTATGTTTGAGGTCTAGCGATATCGTGGTAAACCATAACTTATGTTTTGGTAGTAATTTGCTTGTCTTATTTATACTTAGATTACAATTCTAATTTTTGCGATTATTTCTAGATTTTTGCCAAAGCGATTTGATTGGAGCTTTTGTTACAGTGATCTTACGTACGTTTAGACCTGCAATCTTCAGAGGCTTAAATTGGTGTGAGTACCACTAAGCTCCTTACTACATTTCGGCCGGATCTCGGTTCTTCTTCAGGATCCACAAGCGAGAGTCGCATAGCAAGAAAGACCAACCGACCGCAGTTCCACTGCAGACTCCTGGATAGTGTCACTGCGTCCTCAGAGTGTCATTAAGCTACACGAAGTATTTGATATATAGATCTAATCGCCTACTCTCATTGCTCAAACGATGATATAAGCAAAAATTTATTCGTACTTATTGTACACACACTACGCTCACTTCTGTTATTTAAAGGCGGAAAATTCAAGTCCTCAGGGGCGGTAGTAAGTCCCCCAAATTTGTCGCAACAAGAGCGAACCATGCTCGTGGCGACTCCAAACATGGCTTGAGCTAGTCACGAACGTGGCTTGAAGTTTTTTCTGCAGGTTTGAGGATAGACGCAAAACTTGCAGCCTACCCCTTCATCGAACCTGCACTGAACGAAACTCAACGGCGCTCATAACCACTGCAATATTGGTACCAATGTTACAGTGCAAATATGAAAGCAATACTTATCTTTGCAAGAGATGAACTGTTCGTGCCATACTGAATAAAACAAGGGCTACGAAGTGGAATAAGCTGATAAAATGCGCGTCATCAATGCGTCCCTGATGTGACTGCCTTATGTAGAATGTTGCGGACATGGCGTGCTCCAGCTTATGAACTTGCAACAGGTTTAATTCTCCCCTTTTCGTGCGCTATCTAGCCTCGCTCCTGTCGCAATGTCACAACATCTCAAACCTCATAACATCCTCGCATCTTTCTAACAACTTGCCGATGTTGCGAGGTGTTCGCACCGCGTCAGGGGTGCATGCTGAGAGAACGAGACAGTGCGAGATAGATGGATCTGTCGTGAGCCACTCTCGTCACATGTTGCGACCTTGATGTCGTTACATATACACATACAAGAAATTTACTACTGCCCCAGGAGAATTTCTTTGGACACGTCCATTTTGTTAGGTAAAATCGTGCTTTTGATTTCGTAGTCATCATTCATACTTATTTTCTCCGAGTGGCAAAGAAGGAGTTTCTGATGGCTAAATGTTCTCCTTCTCACTAACGCTCTTCTGCTTTCTCTGTATTAAGTGCGCCGCAGAATTACGAACTCTTTACAATTGCAGTTTTCATATAAAACCTATCCCGCAAAGGCCGCTGCTTAATATTGTCGTTTGAAATATTTGCTGGAATGACATCAACGTGCAGCTATGCTCGCATAATTCTTTGCTGAATTACAACACTGATTTCTTGCGAGACAGGAAGACAGCAGAGTGATATATTGTTAGTGCATTGAATGTTACATGGGATGTATGGTCTACCACATGGCTGGTGCATCAGGTGGCCATTGCTCCTGGCAATGCTAAACACCACTTTTGATGACTCTATCTTCTCCTCGTCTCCCGTGCTGACTTATCTTGCTAACGCGAAGCTTGTCGGTGGATGTAGCTGGATTGGACATGAAATCACTATATATCAACGTAGAGAATGACCAATTTACAAGCGTTCTCAGAAATGATTTAGGTTCGATGCTGCTATACAGACTTACAAACTGACTAGGCGACGCATCTTGTTTCTGATAAAAAAGTTTGAATTGTAATCTTTAGATGGGTCCAATATCGAATGCTTTCGGTTTCTTATTCGACATAGATTTACGCAAGAACAACCGACCAAAGGTTGGCTCCTCTAACTTACAGTTCGCATTGTCTTGCAGGGTGACTGTAAAATGGTATCGGGAAGATGGCTTTAAAATCATCTTCACAGTTCCGCGCATCCAGCTGTCGTCAATGCGGTTATTTACAGCATGTTAAAATAGCAACGCAGGTCCATACGGAAAATAGGAGCGGAAAATCAACAGATCATAAAAGTAGCGTAGAGCATCTAAAGGAGCAATGTTACCTGCTTGTCAGCCAGGCGTAGACC